CAGAGAGGTGATGGTGGGCATATTAGACAAAGGATACTGAAGACGGAGCTTCGAGTCAGGAGAAAAAGAAAGACCACAGAGAAGATTGAAGATTCATGGATGTAATGAAGAGCAGAGGATTGGTGTGACAGAGGAGGATGCTAAAGATGTTGTGAGATGGAGGCAGATGCTTCACTGTAGCAAACCCTAAAGGAAGCAGTTGAAAGTAGAAGCAAAATCCAAACAATGACAGCGTTGGGGTGCATGTAGCCCATGAACGAAAGTCAAGTGGGTTTCACACCCTTAATTTAAAAAAAATCAAATCAAAACAACACAAACATATCCGCTACCTTTCCCTTGAAACAATGTTCTGATCACTCACCAGAACTTTTTCACAGAGCTTATCTGAAGTAACCTGCAGTGCTCATTGGTTACACGGCACACTGATTGGACAGTGGAATGGAGAGACATGTTTCTCAAGAGCACAGATTGGCTGTGATATACCCACCTCTCAAAGAACCATGCCTTTAAGTTGATTTATTTTATGTGGAACTCGGCTTAAAAACTTAAAGCAAAATGATTTAGCCAGGGCAATAATCTGCCAACCTCTACAGCAAACTGTTGTCCTAAAAGCATCAGTGGGATGAAAATATAAGAAAAATAAAATAGACAGAGGTCACAGTACATGGTAGTGTTTGTTTATACTAGAGGGCGAGAAGTTCTAGGCTTTTTTTGGTTTTTATATCCCCCTCTTTTTTTGTAAAATGCTATCCTAAAGACGACACTGATGAATTTAATTTAAGCAAAACAGATTTAAATGTATTCCTCCTTCCTTCCGCAGTTTGTGGCCATCAACACAGACTACAAGAACCTGAAGAAAGAGGGACCTGACTTCTAAAGGTCCTCCAGGCAACTCCAGGGGCACCAAGTTTAGCAGGACCTCCTGCTGTTATCTCACTGATGTGAAACGTCTTTCTGATGCTCTCTAATATACACTGTGAACAAAAATAAATAAAGATCACATGAGACAGATGACTGGATTTTTAGTGTTGTCATAAAAAGTGTTGGTTTATCCAACTGACATACACAGCATCAGTGGACTTTAAATATAAACATTAAGTTTTTTATTCTTAAACGGCTTAAATAATAAGCACGACTCAATCTGTGATAGTTTTATCATTTTTCTTTCTTGTAACGGCACTTTAACTAGGAGGTCAAAGGTCAGGGTCTTACTCTGAAATTCATCTCTCTGGCTGGAAGTGATCCAGCCTATTTTCTTGAAGCTGCACATATCAACATTGCAAATGTTGATATGTGCAGCTTCAAGACTTTTCACCCTACTCTGCATTACAACATAAACATGCTTGAGACATAAACAATTAAGCAAGTGTGTGTTTCATGCCTTCTTACCTTTCTAACACACTAACTTAATGATGTGATATAAAATAAAGTAACATAATGCCAAGCTGTTATCTGCTTTTCTACCAAGTGCTTTGCATCATGCTTATTGTGTTTATGCAGATGTATTTCACATCATGAAATGGAATAACACACCAAAAAACACAGGATCAGCAACTTCCTACTACTTAAAACCAAGGTTATTAT